AATCACAATACTTTGGGAAAAACAGGTAAGCATTTGCCACACTTTGACAGTCCCATACTCCACCATATGAGTATAATCACTCAGAATAACCTTCGAGCATTTCATCGGCTACATGTCGAAACAACCCTGCTGATAGTTATGGTGCAACTCTCCCACTGACTTTCCCAGAGAGCTCATCAGCTATCGACACTACAACACTACCACATACCTACACATCTTGCACCAAATGTTAGTCAATGCTATGTGCAGATATGCTGACCCGCGCCAGTAAGAACATGTCCTCTATCATGGCAACTAGCGGCATGCCAAGAGGATGTTCCCATCTTACTTTACAGCACCACAAGCGCATCCTCCTCCTCTAGGAGAGACACACTGTCCGAACCCAAGCAATTAGCCGACCCTGTTCTATTTTTTGGACAATTTCTCTTCACGTGACCAGTTTGACCGCAGTTCCAACAAGTTACTTTCTTCCTCATAGAGTTGCCCTTCTTCCCCTTTTCGGTCACAAGAGCCGCATTGTCAGAAAGAATATTCTGTCATCCTAATCTTCTTTCTTCTGAGATCAATTTGCTTGTCACTTCTGCGAAACTCATTGTTTCCTTCCCATACATCAAGATTGACTTAATATGTTCATAGGTAGACGGAAGAGACCAAATGAGAGTAGTGCCTTATCCTCATCATCTATCTTCACTCCAATAGCCTCAAGTTCTGAAACAATTCCGTTGAGAGCACTCAGATGGTCTAAGATTTTCGTACCCGCCTCCATACACAATAAATGAAATTGCTCCTTCAGGTACAACCGACTTGAGATGCCCTTCGTTTGATATAGTTCTTCTAGCTTTTCTCATAGTTCATTTGCAGCAGATATCTCATGAATATTTGCAAGAATATTTTTAGCTAGACAGAGATGTAACGTGCTTGCAACCTTCAAATCCAATTCCTCTCAATCATCATTGCTCATACTAGATTCAGCTTCCTTGTTAGAATTCAGGGTTGGGTTTCTTTTCAAAGCCTTGTGCAATCCAACTTGAATCAATAAATCTCTGACTTGTACTTGCCACAAGCCAAAATTGATTATCCCGTCAAATTTCTCCACGTCATATTTCATTGACATATTTTTCTATTGCTCCAATACTCCGAACCACCTAACTCTCTGATACTACTTGTTTGGAAATTTACGCCAATTCTCCTTACTTCTATTACCTGCATGACCTTTTGTTGTTCAGGAGAATATTAGTAAATAAAGAAAAAATAAATAGTATAACACACAAATCAAACGGACCGTCAAAACTTTTCACTATATGAAAAATTGTTACAATCATATAGAATTTCACTCATCAATCCAATCTCCAAAGTATTACAGAGAAAAAAAATCAGCAGCCAAATCTCTTTTGCAACCACGGTTTTATTCCTGTTTTCGTGCAGCAACAGTCCAAAAAAAAGGAGAAGAAAAACAGCAACAATTTCTGTGAATTTCAGCCTCTGTTTCTCCCACGGCAGTCTCCTTTTTTTTCTCTCTCACAGGTCACAACCCTAAAAAAATGGAATAAACCACTATTTATAGGATCCATAATAACCTTTTATTATTTGTAGTAGAAGTCCTCCAATTTTGACTTTTGAGGCAATTACCTAACATTTCGAGCTTAGTTTCACATTATCTTTGTTTACCAAACAACCAATGCAAAAGGTTCCGACCCACAACTAATATATTCACATCGGTTACTCATCGATCTCACTCACAAAGGATAAGATAATTATGATAATTTGTAGTCACAAAAGCAAGAAGAAAAAATAATGAAAGATAATGGTGATGATTTGTAACCACAAAAGCAAGAAGAAAAAATAATGAAAGAAGGCAAGAAACGAGACCAAAAATCAAAGAGAAGCCACACGTTTTTTCTTCTCAAATAGGCTGCCGATTTCTCTCTTGCATACACATGGTTTCTTTCTTCTTTTTTCACACAAATGACATATTTTACGACTAGGGTAAATACACCATATATATATAAGTTATGTTCAGCTTTAGTTGAACCAATAAAAGGCTTAAATGAGCCAAGTTTAAAAGCTATCCAAGAGGTAATATATATGGATCGTGAGCAATAAATTGTTTAAGCTACTTCCAATAGCTCATGTTGTTTTCAAGTCGAGCCTTTGGACTTGGTTGTTGGTAACAATTTAATCAAATGTTTACATCATAGTCCTGGATTCATTGGGTCTCAAAACCGAACAGATAAAAAGGAAATAGATGATTGAATGGTAAATCATCATCTCTCTCATTTTCACTATTTAATAATTCCTTTTCGTCGAGGTAAAAACGTCACTAAACAATGTATAAGAACTTAAGTTACTTATCTTTAAGTTGAGATTTAAAGTACTAATGATATCAAAACTCATTAAATTCATGTGAGCAATTTGATCGAACTATCATTCGAATTTCAAGATTATTGTTTGCAAACAAGTCATGATCTTATGAAGGAAGAGTAAAAATAGTACATAGGTTAAATCTCAAAGTAATAAATAACATATAAAGACAGAGATAATACTCAGTTTGTTTGAGAGATTATATGAAATGAAAAATGATTTCTTGAGAATGTGTTGTTAAAAAGAGGAAAATTTAATTATTTATGTGTAATTTTTTTATTGACACAATGTGTGATCAAAAGTGAATTTGAAAAAATTTGTGCCAAGCAAACCCTAAGCCCATGTTTGATGGAGCTAAAACACCATCTTATTAGCTTTTTACAATATAATACACTCAAAATTGGCTCACCCATGTTGAAAAGAAAAAATTGCCCTCGTCATATGATTGCCCCCCATAAGTTTGAAGAATGCCATTTTAAGTATACACTGTCTTGAATTTTATAATCAAATCTGATGCCTAATGGGATCCATAAAAAAATAAATAAAAGTGATTTTTTTTTCCATTTTAACTTCACGAGGACTTAATAAGGTTGATGTTTCAATATGGACCCCTTAATCTTAATAGTCTTACGAATGAAGTACACTTGACATCGTTGTCCAAACCAAAATTTTGGATATTCAATTTCTTAAGATATGTTAGTATTTCATTGTACTCGGGTGAACTTTGAATATAAATAAATTTCTTCAGATCTAGACTAAGTTGATTTTCATTGAGAATTGGAAAAAATGAATTGAGTTCTGATTGAATAAAGCCAAACGTACAACGTAATGTGTCAGATGGTTTACAGGGTAGTTTCAAAGAATCATGATTCGAGGGCACTCAGACATGTGAAGTCCACGCATAATTTTTTTTTTTTTTAATACATGGTGGGTCCCACCAGTGACCTGGTAAGCCCATGTGAATTAATCCATTGTACGTGTGGATTAATTGAATTTCAAATTACTTCAAACTACTGACGTGTAGTCAAGAGAAAAAAAGGCTAATGGAGGGAAACGGAACGGAAAACCAAGGGAAACCACATAAAGACCAATTGAATCCTAAAATAGTAAAACCCGCAGCTCACTTTTCCATTCCTCACCCCCACCCCAGCTTGAAATCTGGTAACTCCTCCGACGACTGTCGGCCGCTCGACTGCCGTCCGACCAACCATCTTCTCCACCTCCAACTACTTTTCATGTGAGCTAAACTATCGGCAACCTCCCTCATTGCACCCATTTCGTCGAATCAAGAAATCCAAAAATTCAATCTGCCAAGATATCTTCTCTACCTCCAAAAATGTCTAGTGGATGAAGAACTTGTGTACAGTCCACTTTCATGTACTTGTCTATCCATCTGATGTCATTCTATTACTTGGAGTTTCAATTTTGGGACTAAGTCGAAGAAGAACTTCTTCATTTTGACAGGCTGCTGCCAATGCCAAGCATTATGGAAATGAAGGACATGTTCAATGCCCGGGCTAAGCATTTTGGGACCGAGTCAATATCCCGTGATGCCATGCAGTTAGACAAGAAAATCTGGATTTTGGGAGTGAATGAAATTGTTGTAATTAGCAGTTTGATGTGATCTAGGAACTATGTGATAATTTATATAGATCTTCAGATAGAAGTGAAGTTGGGACACGCTTTTTCGTTTTGTTTCTGTATGAAGTATTCAATTATTGTATGTTCAGGGGATACATCTCTTAAGCAGGACTGCACATAACAATTGAAATTAACATGAGACGCAACCATAATATTTAAATGACCACACAAATGGATTGATTCACATAGTTTACAAACTGTAAAACACTTGCCACAATATTTAAATGACCGCACAAGCTGATTTACCGACAGAGGGAATTGAGGAGATAGTCGACATGTTCGATGCTTTTCGAAGGATGGGAAAATGCTTGGGGATTGCAAAAGGGGTCCGGTTCGTCTACTTGCATCTTGTGATGGAGAAGATTGTGGTGGTGGCGAATTCGACTTAATCGAGGGTTTTCAACGCTGGCTTCAGAGATGCACAAATTTGGGGAAAGATAACCTGATGAGGATGGCACTACGCCAAAAATAAGCTTTCGCAACACATAAAAGGCAACATTCGATAGTTAAGTGTTGCTAAAAGAGTCTATCGCAACATTTTGATAAGTAAATGTTGCAATTGGTTAGTATAATTGAGCTTTATCAACATTTTTTAAATAAATGTTGCAAAAAAGTACATTTCGCAACGTTTATTAGAAGTTGCTAAAAGATCAACTTTTTGCAACGTTTATTAAACGCTGCAAAATGGTCAACTTTTTGCAGGGTTTATGGAAAAAGTTGTTTTCGCAACGTTTATTAGACGTTACAAAAAATTGACCCTTCTGCAGCCTTTTTAAATGTTACGGAAGACCAAGCTTTTCGCAGAGTTTAAGAAACGTTGCGAAAGACGATTTTCGTAATTTTTTTTATATTTTTCTGATGATTTCGCAACGTCTGTTTTTAAAAACGTTGCAAAAACTCTCTCCATCCCTTTAAATCAAGCCCTAGCTTTTCCTTATCTCGCTTCGCCTCTCCTCTCTTCTCTTCTTCCTCAACTCTACCTTCCTCCTGAGACGAAAATGGCATCTTCATCTGACCAAAGTCCGCTCTTACTGGGTATGAACCTCCTCCCCTCTGCTCTCATAGCCACCATCATGACCAAGCTCGGCATCTGCTCCATCCAGTCACTCGCATCCACGTGTAAGACCTTCTGCTCCTGTGCCGCCCACACCCTGTCTTTCGTCCCCACCTTCCACCTTTTTGTAAGATATAATATGAGTTTTTTTCCTTATACCCTAGTTATCGGTTTATATGTATCAATTCTGGTTTTATATTTAGGATATAGCGGCGTTGATGGATTTGTTGAGACCTTTGTTACCTTCAAACCCTATACTTGAGGAGCCTAAAGGTGGATTGCACACGCCTTGATGATTCCTCCCTCGATTTCCTGATTCGCCCCTCTTTGCCAAAGCTTTGCCTCTACAATTGCGCCGACTACATAAGAACTTGTTGATTCTTTGTTAAATGCTGGTGATAGATTGTTTATAATTGACTTTTATTCTCCTGGTTGTGGAGGCTGCAAAGCATTGCATCCTAAGGTTGTGAATATTCATTTTTTTATACTCTTAATTGATTATTTTTTCCTTTGATTTACTTGATTTTGATCATTAATTCAATAGATCTGTCAACTGGCTGAAGCAAACCCCGGATGCAATTTTTCTTAAGGTTAATTATGAAGAACTTAAAACCATGTGCCATAGTATGCACATTCATGTCCTGCCCTTCTTCAGATTCTATAGAGGTGCAAAGGGCAAATTGTGTAGTTTCAGTTGTACTAATGCAACTATAAGTAATTATGTTTACATTCTATTTTATTTTTTGAGAATTTTTATTTGGAATCATTTTCTAAGATTTAACATTGTCTGATTGATGTCGGGGTGTTTCTTAGTTGTTTAAATGTGTTGACAGGGGACTGTTTGATTTGCAGTATTTAGTTTGCAATGAATAATTATGTGTCTTTAGTGCTATTTTGATTTATTTGTCATTAGTTATCAATAGTGTGCAAGGAGAATTGATAGAAACCTATGGAAGTCATAGAATGCT